CATCTCATTTTGCTATCATAACATTTCGTTCCTCTTTGCATTTCGCTTTCATTTTGCAAATCAATTATCAAACAATGCCTGAACAAATAAAAATTACATCAAATATGCAAAAAGTGCTCGCAAGCGCTGTGGACAATGCGCGACTATATGATATCCCATAAAAGGAAAAAGTTGACAGAGGAGTGGGAAGAATTAATATGAGAATAACTAATTTGATTAGATAGGGGAGAGATGTGGAGGTAGAGATTAGTATACAGATCCAAATTAATACTTATAAGCAAGAATGAGCTCGCTGGATGTTGAGTCGAGTTTATATATAAGAAAATATCGATATACCGAATATCATATATCTATATTTGAAAATTCTTTAATAAGAAAATTCCATGGGAAGAGTCTGTACATTATACCATGTCTAAATAAATACATAGAGGATAGTCTGATCTAGTCTGGATTGCTCGACTAGTTGAGACCTTGACTCTTCTCTCAAACTGATTTACATTTAAAACTGCAGAGGTTTCCAATGAAATTTCTCCCATAAGTTTATAATAGGAGGGATTCACTGGGAATTATCTTCTCCTCTTCAATGCTCGACTAGACCTTCTTGTAAGCATTCATGCAGTAATTCAGCAAAATTCAAGTAAATTCAAGTATAGAGAAACCTCATAAAACTCGAGCTTACCTTATCAGCTGTCATTTATGCAGACAGGAAGTATTTCTGGGGCTACTCCGACACAACTGACTCGAGGCGGACAAGTTTTGTAGGCCAAGTTTTAGTTTTTCTGATAGCGCGAAAACATAAAAAAAAGAATTTAGCCGACAAAGCAGTAAAAGACAAAAGCAACTTTGAAAATAGCAGCAAAAAGTAGCTAGGAAAATGGAAATGAAAAGGGAAATGTGGGCAACTGTTGAAGATGCCGAAAGTTGACTGATGTTTGACGGAAATTGCAGAACATATGTATAGCAGCTGTATATAGAGATAGAGCTAATAAATATGTTGATGAAACCGAGCAAACAGCAGAACATATCGATTGATAGATCGCTGACATTTTGAGATATTCTATTTGACTTGGCATAGGCGAGGTGAGAAAAATGTGAGAGGGAGACAAAGAGAGAGAGAGAGTGTGTGTGCGTTGCCCGATTGCTGAATATACCCTGTAATAACTGAATAGGAGTATTATGGCCTTAACAATATTTGCTTTTTTGGCTTCTTTCATGATTCGATCTTGGTTTTAACAGACATTTATTAGATTTATTTTCAAGTTCCATGAGTAAAGAACATTTTAGATTCATCTTTGATTTTTGGATTCGTTATAAATTCCACACATCTCGCACATGGATTAGAATGACGCACTTTACCTTCTCTCAAGTCAAGTTCTGATGACAGTTAAACTCACTTTTGATTCAGTTTCTATTGCTGCTCTATAGGATAACTGTTGGCTGCTCAATTTCTTTGGCTGTCATTCTTATTTGCCTAGCATTCAGCTAATGTCCTGTCGCGCTGTTGTTGCCTCTAACGTTTTTGATAGACTGTGTGCCTGTCCGTCTGTCCGTCTGTTTGGCTGCCTGTCTATTTCCCCATTTTGCCATTTTGTGAGCATCGTTGCTGTTGCTGTTGCTGTTGTGGCACAACTCTAATTGAATTGCTCGCTATGTAAACGCCAGCTCTATGGCCCGGGCCTGCGCCTCTTGTGGGCGAGGCGGGTCGGGTCGAGTTGAGGTGGGTTCTGCTTGGCGCTTCCTCAGGCACAGCGCCCATAATCGAATTAGATAAGTTAATAACTTGATAAAAAGTTACAGCTTTTTGTTGTTGCTGGTGTTGTTGTTGCTGTTGTTGTCTGTTGTTGTTGTCGTTAGTGTTGTTGCTGGTTTGTTGTCGTTACCGTTTGGTTCTTCATTGTTTGGCTCTTGTCGCTGTCAATAAACGCCAAATGAAGTTGCCAGCTTGACATGCAAAAAATGCGCAAAAAAAGCAGTGTGACAATAACAACAACAACAACAACAGCAGCAGCAAAAAACCAAAATAGAAATACAAAAAAAAAAAATAAAAAAATGTAAAAAAGTAAAAAAACAGCAGCCATTGAAAATGACAGTTGAAAACAAACATAAAATTTGCAAACATTAATATGCCCTTTACACATAGGGTATATTAGTTGCGTGCCCTGCTTTGAGCTGTTGTCTAATCTAAGCCAAAGTCTCGCAGTTGACAGCCAACAACAACAGCTATGATTTATTGGCCTAAGTGCAAGTAAACTTGGCCAAATATATTGTATCAGTTCTTGGTCAACTAGGGGATAGGGCATAGGGCATTGGCTGGTCGGCTTGACTCGTGCATTGTGTTTCTATGCTGCTGCTGCAGATAAAGACATCAAGTTTGGCTTACTAATGAGCCTACGGGCGCTGCCATAAATATGAATATAAGCGTAAACATTTTCATTTAAAATTTATGAAAACCTTGACGCTAAAGGACATAAAACTTTGCTGCCCAAGGATACAAACACACACACACACACACACACGCACAGTTGACATAAATGTGGGAACAAACAAAAAACAGTCGGCATAGGGCACAAAATAAAAGCGAGCCAGGGAGGGCGGCTAAGAAATCAGAAACAACAAATGCCAAATGCGACGCTGATACGAATATTTGTGCTAATAATTTCCCATATTATTGGACTCGCTATGGCAGGGGCGTGGCATAAATTACGATGCCGTAGCGAGGCGAGGGCTGGGAGAGCGTAAAGAAAAAATGGGCAGGAAATACGGCAGAATATATGAAAATATGTGAACATTAAGTATACGCCGCATTGGGCAGCCGCATAGTGTTATCGATTTCCTTTGGACCCAACAGCATATGGCTTTAAGCGAGATCCGCATTTAGGGCTATATTTTGCTTTTTGTTTTTTTTTTTTTGTTAACAGTTAAAGGCGTCCAGCTCTGACCAGCCAAGGTAAACTCGGGCTGGACGCTAATAAGTTCAACGCACAGCTGACCCACTTAGTCAACGGGCTGGGCTGGACAGGACTGGCGAACGGTGGTGGGTCAGGTAATGCAAAGGGGCGTGGCATGTAAACAACAAGCGAACAGCTGGCATAAAAGTGGAAAACCTTTTAGCAGCGCTGATGGTTACGCGGCTGAGTTGCCTCAAAGAGGGCTTGTGGTTGGGTGTGTTGTTGTGGCCCTGTTGATACCCTGTACCCTGTTTAGCCATAATGCAGTGGAGTATGCAAACCCAAGAGGTAAACTGTAGAGGCTACACTAAGTAGAATATCTAATCCAACTTGGAGTATTTAAGAATTTCAAGAGATTTAGTTCAATTATTCCAGGGTATTTCTTAGTCAGCCACATGAGCTGCTGGTCGCTGGCGTTGCTATTGCGTATGCAAACCACAATAGCCGTCAAGGCGAGCCAACAGACCACGTAAGCAGACGTGGCCGCTGACAGTTTTCGCCCGCTTCGCCCTGGCCCGAAGGCGGCGGCGCGGCACACAGCAATTTAATGGGTTTATTATCGCAATAACAGCAGGGACAACTACTTCAGAGTGGGGGGTGGGAGAGAGGGGGGAGAGCGAGGGACGACGCTCAGCAGAAAAGTAAACATATTTGCCGGCTGTGCGATAAATTAAACAGCCAAAGGAGCCGCCATCCATCCACGTCCCATCCTCGTCCATCCTCGTCGCTGACAATAATGATGTGTGCATAAGTGGCAAGTGGCAAGTGGCATGTGGCAAGTGGCGAGTGGCAAGTGGCTTGGCTTGGCTTGCACCCAACTGTGGCGACGCACAGAATCCAATATGAGCGCACCTCTGCCGCCAGTGGGCGTGGCCCTTCAACAATATGAGGCATTAAGCACGCTTAACGTGAGATTAAATTGTTAGCATCGATAGGCCGAGGCCGAGGCAGCTGCACGAATTGTGGGAGAACCAAACAAAAGTGGAGCAATACCTGAAGGATTTATAAAAAAGAAATCGTCTTTTATTTGGCAGTAATAGGCTTAACTAAGTAAAGTTGTACAGGGTATATGATGAAAAGTGTAGAAAGTCCAAGTTAAACCTCTTAGTTACTTTTGATCTAGCCAATGGATTTTCCATTTCGATGGCTTTTTTCTTAGTCTTGTAGCATTATATACAGACTAGAGAATGTCAAGAAAATTTCTATAATTCCCAAGCTTCATTTTATTTTCTCGCTCAATTTCATTTGCTATCAAATTTCGTTTTGATTTATGAAAAATCAATTGATTTCTACACGATTTCAGCTGCACAGTTCCCCCTTTAGAGCTCTACTAGCTCGCTAGGCTTATACCATAGATATATGAATTTTACAGCTACTTTTTGGTCGTTTGGTCAAACAAAAGCAAAATATTGCCCATACGCCGCGTTGGCTGCGCGCAGTAAATAGAAACGTCCAAGTTTTTAATAAACACGCAACGCGTCTAAAGTTTCCTTTATTTATTTTTATTTTTATTTTCCTGTTGTCCCACACACACACACACAGACACAAGTTGGCTAACACTGCCAAAGAAATATTTATATGATTACTTAGACAAAAAAAAGTTGTTTTTTCTGTTTTTTTTTTTTGGAAAATGGCTAAACAAAGAGGCCGGGCAGCCATATTTTGGGCGCTGGCACACATGTGTTATATGAAGTGTGATATGCTGTATGTATGTGTGTGTGTGTGTTGTAAAAATTGGCCATGTCGCGCTGCTTTATTAAATTAGTTGGCGCACTCAACGCGAAGCGCAGCTGAAACGGATGTCTGGCATATACAAACTTTTTCAATTTCCTGCCAAGACTCTGTGTGTGGGTGTGTGTGTGTGTATGCTACGTGTCTAGCTACGTGTGTGTGTGTGTGTGTGTGGCATTTTTAGTGGCTGTCAAGCAGCGTTCATGATGGCATCAACTAGCGCCTCGCTGCCATTATTTTTTCAGGTCAACATATAAGTAGCTGCCGTCGCTTAACTTGGCTAAATCAAAGCTTAGCCGCTCTCACACTCTCTCTCTGCAGGTCGTGCTGCCTAGGAATTGGCCAATATATGTATAGTCGCCCCTAAGCTGTTGTGGCTCGCTCAGGTATACACACAGCTACACAGCTCATTGCATACACATATTTTATCTCATTTATTTCTGGTAATTTACTTTGATTCATCGATTTTGTAACAAATACGTGGCTATCTATGTGCACATGTGTGTGTGTGTGTGCTGAGGTGTATTTTGTTTGGAAATAACATTTTATTGGATATTTTCGCTTTGGCCGCCGTCCCGCCCACCAAATGCATCAATTCACGTTGTCTGTGTCGAGAACTGATTGAGTTATTGAGCTGCTCGCTCTTTGTGTTGTGGTTGTTGTTGTTTGTTTTGTTAGACATAATAAAAATACATAATAACAGCACATAATAATAATAATAACAAGAGGAAGCTGTTATCCTTTGGATATAACGCAGATTTAATGCTCTCACATGCTTAGAAATGTATATCAAGTATAATTTCTACAGATGTTGATTCTTTTTGAATAAATATAGTAACTGTTTTAGTTAATATTAGCAAAGAGCTGACCATATTTACGAGCGCCTATATAAGAAGATAATGCATTCATATTTCAAATATTTAAGTATAAATTGTTTTGATATCTGGAGATCGAGTCATGCAAACGTCACTTAAGCAGACGAGAACGTAATTGAATTTACTTATAATATTGTTATGATATTGTCTCTAACTAACTATAATTCATTTAGATATTTTGGTTCACATATCTACTTTATACTATCTACCCATATCATTCCATAACATTCCATAATAACAGTTTAACAGACAGTTAAGCACTTCTACATTAGCTCAGCTCTGCATATTTTATAGCCTCTCTGAAAGGTATCCAAGTGTCTCATCAAATTGATTTACCCGCTCTGAGGCGCATAGAAACATAACTCTCAGCCAACAACAAATGCTGCTCGACGCGCTATGAAAGCTTTTGTTGATATAACTACAGAGATATATGTACGTATCTATGTTAAGTTATTTAGCACAGAAATTGGCTTAGTTGTAGACTGAAGGGATTTAATGTGATTTGCACGTATTAATCATACGCCAGGTTGCACTTGAAACATCCCAACGAGCGACGGCTGCGGACAGTTATGATAATAATCAATTGGGATAGGTGAGAGGCAGCAGCAGCAGCTGAGAGAAAGAGAGAGAGAGAGAGAGAGCTTGACGCATATTTGACAGACTATGCCACAAAATTAAATGAAATTTCAATAAAACTGAAGAGAGACATTCAGTGGTAAGCTGAATGAAAGTGGGGAGGGAGGGAGAGAGAGAGGGAGAAAGAGATAACAATTGAAATTGAAATGCTGCAAAACTCAAGAATTCGTTCAGTTGATTGAATCAATGACCAAATATCAGCAGCAACAGCTATTAAGGGGAGCAAACAAAGACAGGGAAAGGACAAGAAAAGGACACTCGTAGCCACAACAAAAAACAATGGCAGAGAGGGAGTGGTGAGAACGACGAGCAGATACCCTATATGCTGAAGGTAGACTTTTTCAATTGAATAGTGATTGAGTGAGTTTGAATGAGAGAGTACAGATTAGGAATAGGTATAGGAAATATATAGAGTTTACTATATATGCTATTCCTCTTCTTGTTTGTCCCTATATATATATATATACCTGATATCCTCTGTAAGCCTTGCAGCTATGATAGTGAGTCACTTCTCTTCTACTATTTCTTCTGAAAACTTTTTCTTTATGTATTCTTCTTCTACCTGTTACACACGTCGAATTGTCACCTACATATATACCATGGCTCATTCCATTCGGCAATCTAACAGCAAACGCACGGCCCACAGCAACTCGACTCGACTCGACTCGACAGGCAACGCTCAGGACGTTTTCGTTGACAAATTTTGTGTAGGCGGCAGCTTCAATTTATCCAACGCTGGGCTGTGGTTCCACCTGACTGAGGCACAGGCAAATGTCCTACGGCACAGCAGCCTGTGTGTGCATGTGTGTGTGTGTGCGTGTATATATTTATGGCATACATGTGTATTTCGGCATAGGTTGGCAGCTCTGTTTATTGTTTGCAATTTGTTTTTAGCTGCACAAAACAGAACTTTATTTTTATGCCTCTGTGTGCGAGTGTGTGTGTGTGTGTGTGCCTTGTAGCCAACATCTAAAAATGGCCAAGACGTGTTTGGCTATTTATAGACGTCGTCACCTTGCGCCCGCCATATGCCAACTATAGCACTAAAACCAAACTCTAATAACAACAACGGGCATAGGCTGAGGTGGAAAAACTCGTATTGACATTTAAGCTGCCACAAATTGCTTTTCTTTCGCGCCCTGTCACGCCCCCACGCCCCCACTCCCCAACCTCTGCATTGCTTCCATCTCTGTTGTTCTTTATTTATTTCATTTTTTTTTCTTTTTTCAGCTCGCATTCGTCTGCGGCTTATCGTGCGCATTTCCATAACATAAAACGAAATTTTCAAATTATAACAAATTGAATTTTCACATATGCAAAAAGGTGACAGCAGGCATTCGGCAGGATAACATTAAATAAGAGCAGGTTGTGCTCGACTAGGAGATATCCTGCAGCCTCAGCTGTAACTTTACGTTTTGCTCTTGGCGCTTTAGCTCTTTAATGGCATACAAATCAGGCCACGCCTACTTCTGTTAGTTGCATATGTTTTCCTTAAACCAATATGCCCTCGAATCACATGTGTAATGGGTATGAGCTGGCCGGAGTGCTTAAAATATTCGTGAGTTGCTTAAGAGCTCTTTTTAAAGTAGCTTAAATCAGCTTTTTCAGGATTAATATTTATTCATTCATTATTCATATATATTTGCATAAGGTATTGATACTCGTTCACAACATAAAAGGGGTATATTGGGAGGAGGAGTTACTGCAAACTTTGATTCTAGATTCAGCAAGAAATAAAATTATATATTCAAGATTATCAAGATTATATATTTCGATTATCTCCGCCAGAGATAGACCTAGAGTTTAAATGGAGAGTTTAGTATTTAATACGAACGAGTATTGTGTAGCTGGTCATGCCCCACGGCAACATTCTTACTTGTTTTACCTAGACTCGACTGACTTATGATTTTCATATTTAATCAAATGAAAACAATTTGTTGTAATTTAATTCTGAGAAAAGAACATGTCTAATATTTTGGGAATTTGAATAAGAATTTGATTTGTTTATATATTTTAATTGGCTTATCTGAACAGGAAATATCTTTATCTCACAGAGAAATAAACAAAGGCATTTGACTTGTGAATTTATGACGAAAATTTAAGGAAAAGCAGCTTCAATTCAGTTGAGATTCATGTGTCGATAGCTGCAACAAACTGACTCGGTCCATTCATCAATCAGTCAATCCATCCATCCATGCATTGCCAACAATTTAGCTCTCTGTGGCAGCTTTAATGCTGTTGCGATGCGCATCTTCGATTTCTGTCTCACACGTTGCATGTTTTGTATTTATGCGTTGATGTTTTACGTGCTCCAAATACCAAACAAACATACAACACACCCACACAGCCACACACACACACACACACACATACTCGCTCATACACGTGTAAATTTTATATTGTGTAAATGCGAGCGAAAGGCAACAGCAAACAGTCAACAGGACTAGGGAAGACTTAACTCTAAAAGCAGCCATGTAGTTGGTTTTCTTTTTCTTTTTTTTTTTTTTTTGCTGTTCCGCTACACAGCGAGAAAATGTGTTGGTAAGGTGAAATGCAGAGAAAAGTTTGGTGAAATATTTATATACATTTATTTAATGTAGTGCTTGATGGAATAAGGTAGAGCTCATGTTCTATAGTCGGCAGAATATTCTATAACCTCTAGCTCTACCTAAGATTCCATATTAAATTCCATTGCTATCAGAGCTATGTTTAGGATAGATTTCAATTTAATTTAAAATCGCAGTTTTCAATTATCAACTCGTTTTATTTTATTTAAATTTCACGAGCATTTTTCAGCGCAGCGAGGCGGGGCGCCCAAGGCTTCAGTGGTTTCTCTTCTTCTTTTTCATTTATGCCCGGAACCCACGCAAAATATTTGAATTTGGGGCATAATGGTTTTGTGAAAATCTGGTGTAGCAGGCAGAAAGGGGCGTGGCAGAACTCTTAATGTACAAGAACGATGAGCTGAGTCTGATTTTGACTCGAAAACTGAGATCTCGTTAGTCTCTAATGAGATGGAGTGGAATTGATTTAGGATATTTACAGCAGCTCGGCAGGGTATGTACTAGTCGAGCATTCCCGACTAGAGCATTCCTGCTGGCAAATAAAAAAGGGTTAGTATTTCAGTTAGCTGCCCTTCTGTACCAACACTCTCTCTCCCTCTCTCTCTCTCTCTCTTTCGCACCCTTTGCTGTGGCAAATGAATTTATGTTGCTTTTGGCCACATATCATTTATGCATGGCTGTATGTGTGCGTGGGCGTCTGTGTGTGTGCTTTGTATATTCAATTTCATTCGTCAAAAATGCACACAATGTTTTCGCATTTGTTTGCCGCAACGTTTTCACCATTTCCTTTTCTGTTTTTCTTTTTTTTTTTCGCAATTTTTTATTAAAGTCTGGAAAATATTGACGTTGCCATTAACAAAAGCTTTTAGCACAAATACAGCTCAAAGTGGCATTTAGCTGCCCAGCTAACTGACCCACAAATACGCTGTGTGTGACGTGGTAGAGAGAGCGAGCGAGAGAGGGAGGGAGAGAGAGAGAGAGAGAGACAGCTGGCAGGTGGCACTCGGCAAGCAACCAAAAGGCAAACGAAACGTTGCTGTTGAGTCGACACTTTGACAGTTTTGTCATTTCAAGCTTCACTTTGCGAAACACACTCATACACCTACACACACCTACACACACACACACACATGCACTCAGCTACTTGCAGTGCATTTCGTATTGCATTGTTGCCCCCAAAAAGCAAACAGCTGCTGCACTGATTGCTGCCTCCTGACCAAGCCACAGATTCACTTTGACATATTTCAGCAACAACAACAACAACAACTACTACTACTACAACAACATCGGCAATAACTGTTAACAGCCATTTGTGCCGCTGCGGCCTTCGTCTGACTTTACATTGTCAATTCGCAGCTGTCCAGCAAAGCCCTGGCCAAATGGAAGCTCGATGTGCGATGGCGTCTATCCCTGCTCCATGCCAACTTTAATGAGCAGCAGCTGAATGTTCATTAAAAATTAATGTGAATTTTAATTATATTAACGATGCGCATTAATGACAAAAGGAAGCAAAATACAAAATGCTTTTTATACCCACTGAGAGCGCATTCACTTGAATGGGGTTAATTGTTGAGAGAGCAGAGCCAAGTTGAAAGATCGATATAGCCATAGTTTCTCTCTAGAGAGTGAGAGAGGCATAGAATCGATATTAAATTCTTGTTCTCAGTTATTAAATATTTTACAAAATAAAAAATAAAAATAAAAAATCATAAATTCCTGAAGAAATTGCAGATTAAAATGATATTTAGCATAGCAAAGAAACCATAAAGAAGATTAATGATGCGCACCATCAGAGCGGGACAGGCTGAGCAAACAAAGTTGGCGGATCCAACAAAAAGATATTAATTGAATCAAAAGATTCTGAAATGTCATTGCGAACCGAATGAATTTTTACATATTTTTGTTGCCTCTTGGTTTTTTTTTGAGTTCTTCAATTCCCCAAGGATGATTTTCCGGCAACTTTATCCGAAGAAATCAATTTGTAGCTCGCTTTAAATGTACTCAAATGACCAGAATCAGCCAAGAAAAGTGAAGGCAAAAAGCGCTGCGCCATTCACCTGCTGCGGCGCGCAATCGGGCGTGCAGTCTGATGGGACAGTTTGGGCTTGAAAGGCGATGCCGAAAAGCCGAGGCAATTAATGGCGGCCAAAACTGTGCTGCCAGCTCGGGGCAGCAGCTGTGGGTGAACTTAAGTGCGTGAAGTCAACAAAAACGGAAACGGAAACTCATGCAAGTTGGGCGGAAATGTTAAAACGACAGCGACGGCCAAAGGCAACTGCGATGCTGAATGAGCTGGCATAAAAAAAAAACAGTAGCACACACACATAAAGGCCCTAAAAACACACACACACACACACACATACGGAGAGAGCAAGAGCCTGGGCTGTTTTTTGTAGCATTTTATTTATGTACATGGGAGCGTATACGTAACGTGACTCGAGGCTCGTAAAGTGTTGCAAATTGTTGCCGCTGTTGCCCGTTGCTGTTGTTGCTGTTGTTGTTGTTGTCTTTCTACCTGTCTAGCCCCACAAATCCACACGCGAGACATCTAGCCCTTGGCATCGAATGCCTTTAATCCACACAAATTACAAATTAAGCTCTAAATTAGAAACGCATCACTCGAACGTAATTGCCGCTATTTCGTCTTCTTCTTAGCGTCTAATATATATATTTATATATATATATGCCCATATCTATTTATATTTTATATCTTGCTTTTATCTCCTGCAGTTGCCGCCGAACGCTACGTGCCCCGCATGGCAAACGCTGAACCATGAGCCATGTAGCCCAACTGCAGTAGAAGGCAACGCTTGATGATTGGAGGCGCTACAGTCCACCCTCGCTGCGACGCACCCCGCTAAATGAGGTGCCAGCAAATTGTTGACGCGACTTTGTGGTGCGTATGAAACTTGATGAATTTTGCATAAGTCTCGTTCGCTTTCTCACTTTTTGTGTGTGTGTGTGTGTTAAAAGTGTCGCAATTCACAGCACACACACACACATACAACAGATAAACAGAGTGAGTGAGTGAGTGAGAGGGAGGGAGGGATACACACATTCATGTCCGGAAATGCTGTTATGCTCGCTCGGTCAGCTGGCGCCCGGCAGCTCTTTTGGACGCCTGACAGTGACAGCAATTATGCATAATTCATATGACAGCCCTCGGCAACAACAAAGACAGCAAAGAACAACAACAACAAGAATAATAATAAAAACAGCAATAGCAACAATAACAACAACATCTCTCATTAATCATGCAGCTTGCGACGTGTTTCAGTCAGTTTATGAAATTAATCAAGTCTCATTAAATTTTCAATGCGCCGTCAATAGAAAACACAATCAAAACTAGAAAGTGCAAAGACTCTTTAAGACAAGTTATAAACATATTAAATTGCTTAGTTGAAGAGATGGAAAACAGAATAGATTGGAAGTTAGATAGAAACAGAAATTTAAATAGAAATTTAAATACATACAGACAAAGATATAAATATAAATATACATATATGTATGTATAAATATATACATATATTTAGTTATGTTTTTATTTAATTTTATTTTATTTTATTTTAAGCAAATATGAAGCAGAGTACTTTAGAAAGTTTTTTTTTTAGACATAGTGAGACTTATACCAAGAAAATATTCAACATTAGCAGGGAGCATAAAGCATGCGCTATCCTGATAACGTGCATAATACATAGACATACTATACCACTAGACAGTCCGTGCTCTACTTAATTTCCTCTCATTTCGCATTTCTTATCAAGTTTCTTGAAAATTCGCAAAATCACGCAAAAAATCTGTTGAAGAATTTGAACATTTTTGCATACACAATTAGCGCTATTCATGTGCAGATCCATTTAAGAAGCAATTTAAATTTTCAATTCATGCTCGAGCGTTTCGTATACCCTGCACAATTTTTCGGTCAATCAACTTTGACAAATTCAGTCATCTATTCATATCAAAAATGCTATTTGTTATTCAGGCTCTCAGCAGCTGCTGTGCCACTGGGACAGACCCTTGGGTAGCACACAAACACACACATACACACACACACATACATATGCACACAAAGGCGCACGCCCACACAGAAAACCACAAAACAGCAGCTCTTAACTCTCCGAGTCTAGACTCAACTCTCAGCTGCCCAGGAGTGACCGCATTTTAATGCCTTTTTCATTGTCCTTACAACTGGTGGGCAACGACAGAGGCACGCCCACGACTTGGCCTCTGCCTTCGCTCCTTCTTTCTTTCTTTCGCTTTTTTCGGCTTTGTTCTTTTCGTTAACATGCACCATTTCGCTTTTGCATACTTTTGAGGCGCTGAGGCGTCACTACAGCAAATTGACGTCATGTCATCAATCAATCTTGATGTAAAGCTCAGCTCAGCCCACTACGGCTCGACTCGATGCGACTCGATGCGAGTCGACCGCGGGTAAACTACGTTTCACATCATTTTTTACGCATTCTCCAGCGACAACGACAAGCTGTGAAATTGCTCTCTCTCTCTCTCTCTCTCTCTCTCACTCCCTCTCTTTTCGTTTTTAATAATTTTCCATTTTGCTAACAAAAAATTGCTCATTATGCAGCTTGCAATTTGATTTATGATATTTTAATGAGCTATTGTTGTAGCTGTTGTGGGTGTTGCTAGTGTTGTTGTTGCTGCTGTGGCTGGTGTTGTTGCTGTGCGCTTTACTGTTGGTGTTGCTATTGCAAACTACAGCGACAGCAACAATTGCTGAAATTGCTGCTGTTAACGTTGCTGTTGAGGTTACTGTTGCTATATATGTTGCTGTTGCTGCTGTTGTTGTTGTGACTGTTGGTGCTGTTGCTGTGACTGTTGCCGTTGCTTGAGTTGCTGCTGTTGCTATGACAGTTGTTGTTCCCGTTTGTATTGCTGTTGCTGTAACCCTTACTGTTGTTGCCGCTCTGTTGCTTTTGTCGTTGCTGGTAGGTATCCTTACTACTACTGTTGTTGCTTCTAATACTATTGCAATTGCTGCTGCTGTTGTTGTTAGTTTTCTTACTACTATTGCTGTTGCTACTACTGTGGCTGTTGAGGTTACTGCTGTTACAGTTGCTGTTACTGTTACACTGATAGTAACTGTTGTTGCTGTTATTGATTTTGCTTATTCGATTGCTGTTGTTGTTGCATTAGCTTAAATTGTTGTCTCCACTGATTCTTTTCTCGATATATTGTCGTTTTTGCCGCACCTACTCCAACTCTAGCTGTTGTTGCTGTTGCTGTTGCTCCTATTGGTACTTATACTGAAATTTCACTTGATGTTGTTGTCGTTATTGTGTGGTTGTGCTTGCTAATCTCTTCCAATTTCTTGCTCCTGCTATCGCTGCAGTTGCAGCTAATGCTCTTACTCTGGCTGCCTTTGTTGCTCTTGTCCTGCTGCTACTTGAAACGCTGCTCCTGCTGCTTCTATTGAAATTATGGGCGCATTGTTCCCATTGCCAGCATTGAAGCGCCTGAATATTTGCCTTATTTTGTGGCTGTTGCTGCTCGGACTTTATTTGTTTCAGCGTTAATTGGTTCTACTTTGGGCAGCAAGATTGTTGCTGCAGCACAGGGCCATTGTTGCTGCTGTTGCCGTAGCCTTTACTGTTCATATTGCTGCTGCTGATGCTGATGAGTTTGCCGTTGCTGCCTGCTTGCCTTTGCTTTTGATATAGTCTCCTGCTGCTGCTGCTGCTGCTGCTGCTTTAGTCTTTGTTGCTGCTGTTGCTGCTGTTGCTGCTGTCGAGTCACCGCTTGAGTCCCGAACGTTTGTCAATTCGAGCATAAAACTTAACCAAATATCCAGCGACCTTTGCAAATAAGAAAAGCTGTGCCGTTGCTCGCAGCAGGGCCAAAGTTCATGGCCATCATCATGACCAGCAACAGCAGCAACAACATCAGCCTGGCGTGGTTTGACTGGCGGGTCGTTTGGCTCGCTTCGGCTTGGGTTTTACAGTGCAGAAGTGCTGTAAAATTTTAATTGCTTCGCTCTTCGGTTTTTGAGCAAAGCCATTAACAAGGACATTGCTACTGGGCCACACTGTTGCATGTGGCGTATACGTTATATATGTTACTCAAAAAACACACACACACACTCGTACAGAGCGAATTGTCATTGGCAATTTGCTGGCTGCCTCTCCATCGCCCTTCGCCTGCTCCTTCATTATTTTTGCAATATTTTGTTGCGCTGTTTTATTGCTCGGTTATTTTAATTAAAAACTTTGGCGCCACTGACAATGCCAAGTGTGCGCTCTTGGCTGGGGGCTGACTGCCGCCTCTGGCAACAGAATGTGCGAAAACAAAGCTGTCAACAGACGAGAGCTACTTGTATCTACTTACAACATGCTCATAAGCAGCTGACTCTGTGCCGCAGGCATTTGCCCAGCCACTGTTTCTCGCCTTTCGCCTTTCCTTTTCGTTCCCCTCTCTCTCAGCATCTCTCTCTCCCCTCCTCTCTCTCTCTCTCTGTCACTTGCGACTTTTTTTGTCTTAGCCTACGACTTTTGCCATTTTTACGGTCCTAAGCTCATATTAAAGGCATATGCAAAGTACCTAAAGATCTAAAGTGTTTGAGCATGTGCGCAGTTGTTGCTCTTGTTGTTGCCACCTTGTTGATGCTGTTGACGTTTGTGTCATTGCTGTTGCTGTTGTTGTTGTTATTGTTGCGTCGCGACGTCTGAGCGCTGAAAAAGGCAGAGCCAACGCGCAGTACGCTAATCCCGCTTAACGTTTTGTTGACAACGCGGTTGCCGCAGCTACTCAACTAAATATATATGTATAATGCTGAGCATATATACATATATGTATATGCTATATATTCACCATGTACTTGTGTGTATGTAAGAGTGGAACGCACCGGTTGGGCTGCTACGTGGGCTACTTAACGCAAGCAATAAATCTTAAGAGCACAATATATATTTATAGCTTCTCCCAGGCGTCTTGTAATTGTGTGCAGCACAATTGAAGCCATGAAAACTCTATATATTTAATATGTTCATGATCAATATTAACTGGCGAGCTGATATAGAAATCTTCTGGCAGCTACTCGCAGTCTTAAAGTTATTTCTCTCAAAGTTTGCACAGCTGGGACTACGAAGGGAAAGCTAAACCGATTTTCACCCTCGCTCTCTACCTACAAATGATGCGATTGTTTGCTACTCCTGCTGAGTTGAGAATAAGGAGAGATTGAAGGAAAATAAAGCCAGAGCTTTTGTCTATGATAAAAACCAATATACTCATTTTACTTTCGTGAATGAGCATAACTAGATAATATACACTCCAAGAAATTCTCTCAATAGAACTATAGTCTTCATATAATCTCAATCATTCGTATATCAAGTGCACTGTGAACTATATTCAAATATTATGAGCCCAAACCATTTATATAGCAGCTTTAGTCAATCCTTCTTTGAATAAAGCATTCATAATTTAAACCTAATTTGTGCCACTCCCACTTTAGCTCACCTGTTTAGCCATATGCTTAAATTAGGCTGCTGCTGCTATTACCTCTTTTTAATTAAGCCACATTTGAGCCAACAAAAGCATAAAATGAGCAAAAAAACAAATTAAATGCAGCAAAACAAAATTTTAATTGCGACCACAAGGTTTTTTTTTGCCGCTTTCAAAGTGCATACACCAGTTGCTGTGTACGTGTGTGTACATGCGTGTGCATGAGTGTGCATGAGTGTTGTTGATGCTGCTGTTGGTTGACTGCAAATAAGCTGACGGGTCCTTGGGCAAAGCGCAATGAATGCAAACAATTAACTTGCCCGTCAGAAGGACCAATGGCAAAGCCAAATGAAAGAGTCAACAGAAAAACAGACTGAAAAACGATTTTTATTATGCCCTTTTGTGCTGGCAGTGAAATGAACTTAAAGCATAGCCAACCGCTCG